ATTAACCAACAAATTTCTCCTTATCGTCTTTTTTAGTTGATGAATCTTAATTGTGTCATTATTATTTCTCCCTGCAGCCCCTCTCTCTTTTCGCTTTTAAGCCATAACAAGCACTATAGAGATGGATGAAATAAAGAGGAAGGAACTGCGATAAAAAGATGGAGAGAAAAGATGTTACAAAGAGGCAGGGTTGATTTTAAAGTGTAGCAGAAGAAAGATTTGGCAGAGGGGGAATCTTTTTTTTTTTTTTTTCACACTCCTCTCCATTACAGGGGAAAAGAAGGATTTCAGATGGGGTTTGGGATTTCTGCCCACTTCAAAGACTTCTTCACACAAGCTTCTGACTTTTTCTTTCCACTTCTACATAAAACAGACTTCATTTCAAAAGGCTGCTGATACTTAGAGTGGATGGCCCAACCTTCCTGACTGTGGGCTAAGATGGAAAGAGATTTTTTTCACCATGTAACACTACCGGTTGGTTGCACAGTTTATTCTTCTGTGGGTTTTATTTTCTGTAAACTTTGCCTGATATTGTCATGGTTCTATTGACTCTACTTTGCAATGACACACTTTTGGATTCTGTTTTCAAACAACCAAGATATTGGTACAACTTTAATTACTACATAAGACCACTTCAACCACTAAAAATAAGGATTTAAAGTCCACTACATTGATTAAATCTTAAAAATGTTGGTAAGAAATAGACCAAATTAGGGTTTAAAGCAGAGACTGTATTGATGCTTGAGCACACTGAAGCTCTTTAATCAGAAATGTGCCTACATTTTTAAACTCTGAGGGAAAGATTCCAGTCAGAGTTGAGTTATGTGTGCGGATGGTTTGTCAGGGCGTCTGCACCGTGGGGAGGGGGTTGTGTGGTAGTCATTGAGGGGAATACCATGAACATCCGGCATGTCATGTTCTTAACGTGCCTCTCTCGTGGCAGGTGAAGAGGAGAAGTGGCTGGCATTACCATCTGTCAGGGATTCAGGACATGCCTGTCCACGCCCTCCATGGGGCAATGAAGCCGTGAAATGACCGTGGTGCAGGGGTGAATAGGCAACTAAAAATCCAAGAGAAAAAAAAAGGAGAGCAAAGCCAAGAGGCAAGACTGTTGAGTGATGAATCCAAGATTAAGGAGATAAAGATCTTTAGTAAGAAGATATAGCTCAAGTAAAACTCTATTAAAGGGGTGTAAATTAAAGGTTGCAGTGAATATTGCGTTTCTATTTTTTATTTTGTTCAGTTGTATTTTCAGAACCACATGCTCTCTCTCATGTGGGACTAAAGATAAGATAAAGATAAACAGCTTAAAAAACCAGCTGCTCATAAGTTCATTTAAACAATATTAGTTAGAATATTAATATTGGTTGGACAAAGAGATGTGCAAATGTCCATACAAATCTTCAGCTTCTTCAGCAACGGGGTAACTAGGGCATATACTGCAGGTGGAAAGAGCCAGTGCTGAGCAGCAGTATTAACAAAAGAGAGCTGTGTGGGCCAACGGCTGGAAAAGTACCCAGCTTTTAGAAACGCCTGGCTACAATCTCATGAGTAAAAGCGTAGATAGATTTCATGTGAGAGACGCTATCCTCTGGAGTCGAGAGAGAACTTGGCTCAAATTCAAACCCTACACTCTCTGATATTAGGTTTAAGATAGACTTTTTACACACATATGTGTGCAGCTGCTGATGTCGTCTTTTCAGCACGAGGCTCATGTTTGGTTTCATTTTGTAATTTGAAAAAGGGCTGACTGAGTCATGCATCCTTTAGGTGCTTTTGTGTAAGCTCTCAACAGTCAGCATTACATTAGGGGGCACGTGTTAACAAAGTTGTGCTCTTTGACTCAGTTTGGAAATATTGGGTACCTTTTCACTTCTTTAGGTGTAAAAAAATCCTTACAATGACAATATTTGAGAATCCTTCGACCACCTTAAGTCCATGTTAACATTTGATTAGGAATCACAAGTTCAGATTATTTCTTTTTAAAGGGTCACGTCCAACACAAGCTGTGAGTAACTGGGAACATTACTCCAAAACCACCCGCACAAAGAGAAACAGGAAAAAGTGATTAACTGTATTTCTTTTGGTAACATCTCATGTCACTGCAATTAAACTCATTCTGAACAGATGTTTTTTCCCCTGACAGTACCTTAAACAAATTATTCTTGTCCACTAAGCAGAATAACTGGTTGCATAAGTTAAAGTGCACACACAGTTTTACTCCCTGCTACATCACTGCAGGAAAGTATCAACATGAAACCCCCCATAGTCGCAGCACATGTTAAACTTTCTTTGTCTTCATGTTTCATACCTGTGCCGTGTCCACAGCTGCGGGTTCACGTATGATGGGGGGGCTGGACAGCTGTTTGACAACCTGCAGGAAGCTGTTCTGCTGCAGCTGTTAGACAAGGTGACTCCACCAGCAGAACCCTGCTCACTTTACTGGAAGGAGTCCAGTGTATATCTGACCTTTGCTCACTCCTCCTCACTTTTAGCACTGTGTGAACCGTGGCTGTTTAAGTCATCATCTCTTATTTATTCCTGCGCTGAGAGCTAATATTGACATTATCCGGGTTGCTTTTTATGAAGTAGAATATTAATAAGATGCTACATTTCCTGGAGAGACAAATGTGTGGGCGAGCTGCAAAAAAAAAACTTGAATCTGAAAATCTCATATATACACTTTATCTACTGTGTTTCCCTCTTCTGGATGGACAAAAGTGGTTGCTATGTTCTTATGTGTTCGTTTGATGATTTATAATTCACTGTGTGATTTCGCTGATGACCCAGGTTGCTTGTGGTGTGTGAACTGGCTGAAGAACTCCATTCTAACAATATAGTACTTTTGTCTTTTGGTTGGAAACAGAAGACCAACAAAGTAGATCTGGGGGCCGCTGCATCTCCTGAAGTTGCCCGACAAACTGCAGGTTTGACCTCTAAGTGAGTTCAGACATTAGAAAGTATGTTAAAGTGGATTCAACATGACCTCATGTGTGTGAAAATGTGTCCTCTAGACAGGGTGTCCTTCCAGTAAAGGAGCGTGATGACGTCTCTTCTCGGCTGCTCGTCCTGTAAAACCTTGATGAACTACCCTCAATGATGCCCTTCCGAATGAAAAATATGATGAAGTGCCCTCTAGGCCTTTCTGAGGAGAATACAGGATTCAGACCCCTCTAGTGTGCACAATAAACAAAATATGACTCAATGCCGGCTTGGGTGCCCTTCAAGTGGACAAAACACAATGGAGTACCTCCTACAGTGCCCTTCCAGTGGAGAAAACCTAAGCTGAAAAAAATATAAAGAGAGCACCTCTATGGTGTCCAACCGTTGGAGAAAACTCCTAAATAAAGAAAATGAGATACAGGTCCCCCGAGTAGAGCGCACATCCATCGGAGAGACTGCAACCTTGAACCATTGGAAACTTTTGGGACTTCAGGTGTCGACAGAAGTTAGCAGTGCAGGTCAAGTACTGGCTAAAAGCAAACCAGAGCTGCACTCATTTTCAGCTTGTTGCATTTTAAACGTCTTAATTTATATTGGTTTATAGAATGTATGTATTGTTATATTTATTTTAATGTATCTTCAAATATAAAGTCCTGTGGGGTTTAGTGACTAAGTGCTGTATGTTTTACTCTCTCTGTGCAGCACATCAGTTTCATTTTTTGGATCTGAAATAGGTTAAATCATCATTCAATTCAACTTCCGACCAAGACTTCTTCACGTTTACCATTTCTCAGGATCCGGCCTGCAACTTCAGAATCAAAAAAATGAATTGGACCTGAGTGATAGGGTCTAAAAGTGGATTGTTAGCTGCCCTTATGCAAATGATTGCAGCAGAGCCAGGATTGCATTATGGCAGATTGTTAGCCCACTCTTACTGTGTTCAGTCAATGCCTGCTGAAACACTATCAGTGTTGCCTACACTCAAAGTATAACAGGAAACAGACTACTTTAATTGACACCAAAATATCATGTCATTTGCTAGATTCTGCACAGAATAGAATTGGGATCAATAAAGTAATTCTATTCTATTCTATTCTGCACTTCACTAACATTGGAGTGACTGTAATGAGGTGCCCTCTGGGTCACCTTTAAAGTGGAGAAAACTTTCTACAACAGGAACAAGGCAGAAGAAGCCTTCCTGCATGCTTTGACATTTGTATTACGGTAATAGCTAGCTCATAAATAGTTAAACTTTAAATTTAAATCTGAGTAACATTAAACAACTTTGATCCAAACCAGAGTTTTAAATTGTTTCCCCATAAATCCATAATCACCCCCTCAGGTGTGTCATCAGTACTGACCCTGCTTCTCCTCCTACTAACCACGCCTACCGATAAAGACCCTGAAGTGAATCCTCATAACTCATTATCACAACAAGACCAACAAAGTAGATCTGGGTCTCTGCATCTCCTGAAGTTGCCTGACAAACTGCAGGTTTGACCTCTAAGTGAGTTCAGTGTTAAGCTCTTTTAAGACATTAGAGAGCATGTTAAAGTGCCCATAAATCCATAATGACCTTACAAAATACTTTTCTGCTCACCAGTGATCTACTAGTTTACCTTTAAAAAAAGAAAGACAGAAAAAAAGTCAAACTTACAACAGCTTGTAAAAGCTGTAAAAAGTCAGATGTCAGACCCATGTCCAAATAATAATGCATTGCCTTTAAAGGCTTTAACCACCGTGGAAATGCAAATAAAGTGTCCCAGTTAAGCTGAATTCAGCCAGCAGGCCATGTGATTCCAGCTAAAAGGTGTACAGGCGTGATAAGGTGACCTTGAGGACTTTTCTACCAACAAGAAGTCGCTGTGTGAATAAAGGAGAGAGGGAGTTTGAGGCACAAGAAGAAGAAAAAAAACTGATAAGCTGCTTCTACCACACACATTAAGCCACACAATGGCAAAGAAGGAGGAGTACCCCGCCAGACTGAGACTTTAATTGAGCCCCCTCCCCTCCCCTCTCCACCACACCACCACCACCACCTCCTCCTCCTCCTCCTCCCCGCTCCTCAGTCTCTCCTCCGGGGCTGCTGCTCACTAACTTCTCGTCGACACGCCACTTCAGTTCACATTATTTTTGGTGCTGGATACGACAAGCAGTGAGAAGAAGAAGAAGAAGAAGAAGAAGAAGAAGAAGACATGGCTTCACTTCACAAATCGCTTCTACCTTTGTTTCTTCATCTCTGCCTTCTTCTCCACATGAGCGGTGAGTTTCTCCTTAATTAAACACGCCATGTTTTCTAACGGTTAAGTTAAGTGAAGGAGGAGAAAATAACACTTGGATGGATAAACTCAACTGACTGTGTTTGACCGGGATGCCCCAACCTGTTTTTTTCTTCCTTAACAAGTGTTTTCTTTACATTTAAGTAAAGCAAACACAGTTTCCTCGAGTAAAAGTGTGTTTTCTGTTACGAGTAGTTTTTCGCTTCCATAGTGAACTTGAAATTTAGTCGTGAAAGCACATGTTGTAATTTATTTTAATTTAACATTTAGAAATGTTACACTTTAATGATTATGTCCTTTTTTTTTTGGTTCTTTCTTTAGTCGAAAGCCTCGTCGTCGTAAAATATTTAAAGCTGTAATTAATTACTGCGTAATTGATGCTCTTAACGGTCCAATTAACCTCGCAGTGACGTTTTGAGCATACCCATACATTAACATGTGTGACTGGTGTTTTTTAAAGGGTTTTTTGTTTTTGTCATAGCGTGTTTTAGTCTCTATAAGTCCGTCTGGATAAGTTATTAAATGTTTTATAGTATTGGTGTAAACATCTGAGGAGCCACAGTGGTTTAAACCGCAAGACCAAACTTAGCACATGAGCCTCAGTTTCCAAAGAAGCCTGCGGTTTGTTAAGGTTTCGGTTTTACATGTTGTACATCACTTAAAACAGGTTGTAAATGTGATGGAAGAGGCTGGTTTTAGACGCAGGAGAGCTGTGGGATGCTGGCCATTGTGTGTGTGTGTGTGTGTGTGTGTGTGTGTGTGTGTGTGTGTGTGTGTGGTGTGTGTCCGTTATTGTGAGAACAAGTCTGACTTTAGGCTGCCTTTACACTGGATGTGTTTCCTCAAAGGACAGTTCTCATAGGATAGTTGTATTCAGATAAATCAACTGAGAGGGGTGCAACCAATTAATGTTTTTCACTTTTATGTGATAAAAAGATCTTTGTCAGACTTAATCAATATTGCCATTGGCTAAAGTGCATTGTGGACAACTGTAGTCCAAAGTCACATCATCAAATAGCCTATGTTGTCTTCAAAATAAGTGGTTAATATAATGTTCAACATTAAAAGTAGTACTTAGACTTTTTAAAGATCTGGAGGGGCCGAATAATTCTGCCATCCTGCCAGTTGTTTTATCATGACTCTAAATTTAGTACTACTAGGCATTGATAGACCTAAGGGGGCATTAGGGTTAGACCTATGTGAAAAGAGCTGATGCTAATAATGGGAAATCGATATATTAGGCAATAGGAGGACAAAAAATTGTAAGAAACCATTGTGTCATTTGTAATGGTGAGCATTGTTTGGATTGTTTTTTTTAGGGGAAATGCAAAAAGAAATGTCTCATTGCAGATAAACCAAATGAAGAAGTCTACATAGGTGTAGGGAACTTGTTAATGTTTCAATTCTTTAATTTATGGTTCTATTTATATTAGAGCTGGGTATTGTCCACAACCTCACAATTCAATTCAATTTCAATTCTATATATTGATTCGATTCGATATTGATCAATATGCTTTGATATCGATTTAATAATAAATGTAGATGACAGGAATACCCAGATAACTACTCACAGAACCTTCTTATATTTGTTAAATAATCATGTGTGCATTGTTTGTACAGGTTCAGACTAAACTCACTCAAACATTTTCCTTTATTGTTGCATTATTCTGTAATAAACAAAGAATAAAACATTAAAGTATTGTATGATGTAAAGTGCACATTTGTGCCTGACCTGACTTCACAGCAGCCACAGTGCCCCCAGTGGAGAGGGACATCATTACAACGAAAAAAAATCATTAAAAAAAAAAACCTAATCTAGACAGTCTCTGTTTCTTAGTTCGAAGAAAGGCAGAAGTTCATGCAGATGTTTTCTTGTAAAAACAGAAGTTCATGTGGAGAACTCTGTAGAACAGGACATGCAGGGGCGAGGTGTGACTTGAACAACAGTATTTTTGTAAATGTCACAGACAGGTTATTTTAGCACATCAGCAAAATGATATTTCCATGACATGTCTTTTGATTGAACAGTCCAACAGGTACGTATGGTCATTGCAAACTGACTGTGCTACCTGTCATTAATGCATCATTATTGCTATTTCTATTGCAGTTCTTTTGAATTGAAACAAACCTTTGACCAACATTGGTGGAAGTTTTGTCAGGTAGTGCTGCTTGTGGTGCATACATTGATTTTTTTTGAGCCTATTAGCTGATTAGGAATCATGAATCTTATGTACATCCCTCCCCTCCCCTCCCCTCCCCTCCCATTGTGAAGGACAGACTTCATGTTGACTTACTGTATGGATTAACTTTTTAAAGGAAGCTTTACTGTAAATAATTAAACGTAAACCTTACTCCACGTGGTATCTCACAACGGGACAACACTCACTCTGTCCTGGTCTTAAACCTCTCTTTCTTATAAATCCTTGTTTTTTTTACTCCATCAGCCTTGTCTTAATTGGGTTACGTCTTTTTAATCCCCATCTCTCCGCTACCTCCTCTGGAGACGAAGTAAAGCTGTCTGTTTTTGGATTATGTCGTGTGGTTGGTGATAGAGACCCCCGTCCCTTTAAAGAGCCCTGTCAAAACTGACCTCCTCCCTAATGGACCCTGAAGGGCACTTACTTGAATACAATTTGTGGCTAAAAGCATTTCTCCTGCATGGAGAATAAAACCATCCTGAGTATTAGAAAAACCCAAACATGTAGTTTAGTGCTTACAGCAACATCTATTGATTTCACAGAGCAGTGTTCATCAGTATGATGGTCATGTCGGTTACAGGAACGAGCAGGCGGTCCCGGCTGGTTGTGCAGTAAATCAGAGCAGTGGGCAGAGCTTTTACGATGACATTTGCAGAACAGAAAGTAGACACGCAGAATGTGCTTACTTAGGTCATGCTGTAATTAACTTTTTTTCCAAACCAGAGAGGACTTTATTCTTTGGTGTAGTTTAAGATAGGGTGGATCATTAAAGTATTTTTGCTGTGTAAAATATCCTTTGCTGTTTAAAAGTCAATACAGGCACCAATCATTCAAGTCAACCGGAAATGAAAAATGCATCTCTAATCATAGTCGGTCGAATAGTCTGGAATACTGAACACCTACTTTATTTAAATACATGTGCGAATAATTGTATTTTCTTGTTTTCTCTGAACAAAATCAAATACAGTTTGCACTCTTAAGCTTGAACCAGCCAATTTCAACATTCAACATCATGAAATCCACCTACAAGCGAGAACGTTTCACAGGTCTTATACCCAATGGTTAGCTAGCTAGCAGCAGCATTGTGAATTGATGGCTCTGAAGATGTTCACCATCTAATAACCTTGTTCTGTTTTCTCTAGATACTTGTTGTGTTTTAGGACCTGCTTGCTAGAATTGATTCCATTCCAGAAAACTGATATCTATGACAAAAGACTGCTTCAGCAACTTTTCTGAGCGTACTGCTCTCTTTTCGACGAATACTACAAACTATTCAGTTTACAACGTTTGGCCTATGCTCTCCTTTAATTTTGACACGCCCACTTTTCAACTTTCAAATCAAATTCTTCCTGTCCTGCCTGACATTCATGTTCCACTTGAAAGTGCTTATTGTTAGGTTGGTCCACTAAAAAAGAGGTTTATCTCTGACTTTATCCTGGACGTAAGGCCAACCTGATAGGATGACAGTTGTGGTATTTTGCGGCATGCATCTACCCAGCCAAATGATCTAATAAATATTATATCTAGACACACAATTCGTTAAAATAACAACAATGATGAATTCATACTCACATAAAAACTGAAATTCTAACCTGAGAAAATGCTGCAAATCTTGTTTTGTAAACTTAATTGAAAAGTGTAAGCATTTTATAATTGCAATATACTCTATCATAAATCAGAAAATGTTTTATTCAGCAACTCCAACAATAGATTAGGGTTATAACTTTTTAGAGCCTGTACCCCTTTAAGACGTATGATTTTATTCTAATACTGCTGACTGGATATAACTTTAAGTGTAGACATGACATTTTTTGGCATTTCTTATGGCTTCATTATCTTTAAGGTTGTTGACATTTCACACTTCCCTGTCCCCAAGTAAAATTGGGTAAAATTGCTTCCAATAACAAGTATTGTCTGTGAAGCCACGGCTGGATTTCACTGTGATATAGAGCTCCATTGTTGTCCAATGACTATTAAAAACCCATCAATGAGCCACACTGTTAGACTGGGAGACATGGAGACAAGGAGGCCTTTATAACTTTACGACACAGCTACACACAGCTACAAAAACTTATCTTGAGTTTATCCCCCTCATTGTGCAGCTGGTGTAAATTCTGACTAAAACACCAAATTGGTGTTAGTGTGCAGCGAAAATGAGTTTGAGTACTGAAGTGTTTTTTTTTCTGTGATCATTGCATTAGAGATTGGTGCAGTTGAGAACCACAATACTGACTTACTCATGATGCTGTTTGGAGAGTTTCTTGAGATTTTTGGAAGACATGTTGAACCAGGTTTCTTATTGAAGAAGCTTTATGCTATTTTTTATCTAACTTGGGTTAACTGGTGAACTTGAAACTCAGCCAACAGCAGACAAAGAGAGAAGAAACTCCTATTTTTATGTCTCCAGACAGACTTCAGGTTTGGTCTGCCAAGCAACCTAATCTCTGACTCTTGTAACATCTTTTTGATTCATAGCTGTAAATCCTTCACCGCTTGTGAATATACAATATCTTTACCAGGACATTCCTTGTTTACTGATAACTTGAACCCGTCTCCTCAGGCAGTGTCGGAAATAGAAACTGATGTTGAGAAGATGTAGGGGTAGGGTGACATTTTAATGGTGTTTGGACTCTAATCATTTTGGACAGCCGTGGCATCATTCATGCACAAAACACTTCACTTTTTGTGGACTCAGAGTATTGTATTTGTTGTTTGTGGTACATGTGGTACAAAGTATTGTATTGTCAGCATATTTTTGGAGTGAATGAGCATTGTTCAGAGCCAA